ATTTTTTAAGGATGTTAGATCATTTCTTTTTCTAAAACTCTAAATAATCTCCACTCCCCACTGGGAGCAGAACCCTCAAAGTCAAACACTGAAAGTAAAACTTAATTCTATCATATGTTGTGCTGTCAAACAGTACTGTTTGCATTCTGGAAAATGACAAGCATGCTCAGGAAACAGGTTCTGTTGGGTTGAGGTAATTGCCACTGTTGCTCTTTGCTGGCTGCCTACACCTTATCCTCCCCCTTTGACTCTCTGTTTCCTGTCTTTTCTCATCCTTCCCTTCAAATTTCCTGCAAACAAAAAGTTGTAAAACTACAAGGAGACACAAGATTAGCATATGTCTTTATGCACACTAGTTTTTTAAGGTGGCACAGTTTAAAAGTAATAAACTACAGATGGTTACAACCTCTTATACAGACTTTAGACCATCTGTGAGATTAATAAAAAGATAGATTTATGGCTGGAATGAATTGATAATAATAAAGCTAACAGTACATTAAAAGGACATAAATTTCATACCCATTAAATTGATGTCAAGTTAATACACACAAAATGAAGTTCATTGTTTAAATTGCACGATAATATTAAGTAAACCAAATTTGTATCTCGTTTCATGTTTTGAAAACCTTAAATCACTTTAAAGGACGTGTATATTAAAAGACAATATAATGTTATCAAAAAAGAACTATGCCAAACCTTTTTTCTCAATTTAAAATGTGATTTTTAATCCCTCATAAAATACCCTCTGTGCTCACCTTTCATCTCAGTTTCAATTTTGCTGTCGTTATCTGCGGCTGATTTCGGATGGTTGCAGCTGTTCTTTGCTGCTCCAGCATTGGCTGCTGTGGAGCTGGCGGCAGAGTCGGCTGCTTTCGTCTTGACTTGATCCCGTTTCCCTGCAGCACCGGAAGATTTATTCGCATCCACACTGTCCATCTTCACCAGGCAGAGGGTCTGCAGCAGACCCATGGCATCAAAGTTTTCTCCAGAGCAATCGCCACGTCTCCTCAACAACTCCAACACCTACAGTCACAAAACATATAGAATTAACAGATTTTTTAAAAAAAGGGATGGCTGAAAATAATTCTGTATGTTTTAAACTACTAAAACTTAAATTTGTACATTACTACTATTTACACTATTGTGTTATAGTGTATGCCCCACTTTTTTGGTTGTCTGAGTATCACATTGAGAGACACAGTATGTAGCCTAGCAAAAAAATAAGATTAAAACTAAGTGACATAATTGTAGGTCCTAGAAAAAAAAGAAGATAATTATCTTTCACCTGATCAGAGGTGGGTTGTGTCTGAAATCAGTCCTAGTATCCTCATTCACTCCTTCCCAAATAATTGATTCAAACTCAGTAGTTCACTCTATAGTGACAAGTAAACAGATTCATAAAACTAGTAGTTTTGATCTTTGATTATGATTGGTTGAGCTGCGTTCGAAGCCACTGTAAAATACTCTATATACGCACACAGCTATGACCACATGACTACAGTATTACTCCGCCAATTAACTGCCATTTAAAATGGAGGATTTTGTTGTGAATTTTGATCTTCTTGGTGAGTTAAGCATGGAGAAGTGGCTGACGAGATGGACAGTAATAAGACAGGAGATGCGCTGAAATTAACGAAAGAAATTAACAAGCTGGAAATGTAAAGAAATGAAGCTGGGACTGTTAAACAGACAATGTGGTTTGTTTGACGTTGGAGCAGTGAATAAAGTTCGCAGAGAAGGATGCGACAAAACATCCCGTCACCGAGCATTTACAAAGGCAGACTTTCAGAAAATCAAGCACACTCAGGCACTGAATCCAAACATACCTGAGGGTCTTATTAACAAAGTTTGGTTCGATGTGCAGCTGCAAATAAGATGCAGAGCCAAGGAGGGCAACTGCCGACTGAAGCCTGAATTATTCACATCTGCCTGGATGAGAATGGTCAAAAATTTGCAACGCTGTCATTCAATGAATGCACACAAAACCCACAAAGATGTCAGTGAAAGAAACAGAGATTTGGGTTTGAGCAGCCAGAGAACCCACTGTGTCCTGTTGCTTTGTTAAAGAAATTCCTCTCACTGCGGCTGCCCTATCCACTGGCCTTCTGTGTCCATCAAAGCGGACAAATGACACCAATGATCTAGGGTAAGTTAACAATGTAATTTTAGGTAGAGCCCATGGGAGTGAATATTTTTAGCTCCATATTGCAACAGGAACTCCGCTCTGCGTTGTACCTAACAACACTTAGTTCTTTTAAATCACTGTAAACCAGGGCCTCTTGTGGCTTATTGCTTAATTCTGACACTTATGAATCATCATTTTGTTTCATTACTGACAACTATAGAGACACACAACTGTTGGTTTTCATTTATAGAATGTGACACACGTGGGGATTTTTCGGCATCGTTTGCTTCGATGTGGGAATATTTGACAGCACTCTGCAGAGCATAAATTTCTCCCAAACTCAAATAAAATGGCATACACTAAATAGAGTACAGCGTATAATAAATCGGGAGTGATTTCGAAAACAGCCCTGAAGACAAACACAGAATACACACTAACACACCTTGATGTATTTGTAGGACTTCAATTCGCTGAGGTTCTCCTCCAGAAACAGGATATAGAGAGAGAGATCGTCCAATTGGCCACCAGGGGTGGGCAGCACGCTCACAGTGGGCAGTGACTGGTAGGTTTCCAGGAAGCGGGCATATCCATGGCAGAAGAGGGGACGGAGACTGGCATAGATCACCACAGGAATCAGCGCTATGAACAGGACCAAGTTGACCATGCTGGAAACAAACAGTTTAAGAAACAGACTGAAGTTTGATATGCAGAGAGGAAGTATGGCCAGAACTCCTCATAAAATGTAGTGATTTAAACAGAATCAAAACATTTTTGTGAGAAAACATATGAAGTTTCTCTGGAAGATGTTACAAAGTCACATGACAAAAACCAAGGAATTAACTGGAAAAGGGAACCATTATAAAGGTGGACACAATCTGTACAGACAAATACCTCAGCAAAGAGAAGACTCCCACAGCGATGAGCTTACACTGCACTTTGTCGGGGACGCCTGGGTCAGAGGCAAGCAGGCCAACACGCAGTGTGCAGCCAAACTCATCTGTGACGGAGGCCAAGCGGAGGTAGTAGCCCAGGTAGATGCAGGCACAAAGGAGGGTGATGAGAGTCAGGCCGCGACACAGCAGGTAGTAAAATAGCATCGACCGTGAGCAGCGCTTGGTCATCAGAAACTTCTCCACCAGCGGGTAATTGAAACAGCCCTCGGTGGGGTCGCTGGGTCATGAGAATAGAGGAGCAGAGAAAGAACACTGAAGAATTAAAAAGTGATTTCACTGGTTAACTTAATAACTATGGCAAGATCAAGAGATCACTTGATATTTAGTCGGCATTAAGTAGGAATAATCCTGGTCTGTCTGTTAGAGAATGCTACATGTAGCATCTTTAAAATGAGGCACAAGTAAATATTTCATCCTCCCCAGAAGTCCCTGTCTCTGAAACTCATCAGCATATTTATCAGCTTGGATTTTAAATGGTAGTTCCCTGTTGTATTGTATTTTAAATGTAGCAGTGAGATAAATCATTTTCTAATTTCTAAATCAAAGTTATAGAAAACTGAGCTTGTGTTTAAGTTTATTTACTTTATTAATCCCCCTGAGGAGAAATTCAATGTTTTCACTCTTGCTTGTCATTAACACACAGGTCTGAAAGATACACACATGCACAAACAGGACCTATACATGCACAAAGTGGAGAGATGTCAGAGTGAGGGGGCTGCCCTTTGGCAGGCGCCCCGAGCGACTGGGGGGTTCAGTGCCTTGCTCAAGGGCACCTCGGCGGTGCCCAGGAGGTGAACTGGCACCTCTCCAGCCACCAGTCCACGCTCCATATTTTGGTCCAGACGGGGACTCGAACTGGCGACCCTCCGGTTCCCAACCCAAGTCCCTATGGACTGAGCTACTGCCGGCCCAACAAATTATAGGTTCTCATGATTAACAATGAACTGAAAGGCCTGCATAGCGATACAGCCACACATTATTAAACACACACTCCACAGGCATTTGTGGATAAGCAAACTGCTAGCACTTACTAACTTAACTTACTCATTAGACATTCCAGCCATCAACGGGCTGCATACGTCCACTGCCAATAGACCAGACAGGCATATATGGGCACTTTGCGGGGGATAGAAAACCGAAGATCCTACTGATGTCAATGCAATTTGACGTGTGTTTGGATTACAATTTTGACACGTGTGTGTATTTTTTTCTTGTTAAACAAACGTTTGTTTTGTCTAATAATTACTTTTGGCCTAATGTAATGAATGTATTTCTCTTGGGGTTTTTATGAACACCTTTTAAACAAAAGCCAAAACAATGTATATTCAACATTTATCAAAAACATTCTGTTAATTCCAAACCATTTCCAGGCCTGGAGAAGAGTTTTTATAATAACATAACTTTTCTAGGTATGTGATGACCGTGGGAACGCTGTAAGGGCACTTGGACAGTACAGACCTCTGCCACGGCAAAATGCCCTATGATGCAATGTTGACTAAACTATTAATAATTCATGTATCTGCCCCATGAATCAGATCTACTCCAATTTTAATGTGTTCTTCCTTGGTCCATCCTTCACACTTCCACCAAGGTTCATGAAAATCAGGCCTGTAGTATTTCTGCTATCCTGCCTGTAACCTCCTTGGTGGAGGTAACAAATCAAATGTTCTAGTAGCACCCTCCTACAAATGGGCTGACCTGTGTTACTACAGACAGAACATGAGGATTAATTAAGATTTTTGATGTTAGCTGAGTTTTATGTCCACACTTTAATCTCTGAGGCTCTCTTAAGTAAAAAAAAATGTACGAGCCCAAATGCAAAGTATCACTCCTTATTTATTTAGGGAAAACAATTCAAAGTTGTAAAACAACCTCTGTATCAGAGAGAGAGAGAGAGAGAGAGAGACAAGAGAGAGAGAGAGAGACAAGAGAGAGAGAGAGAGAGAGAAGAGACAAGAGACATGGTACAGAGAAGACAGTTCCACTGGTTGTCCTTGTGGTTACATTGAGATTATTATCCCATCAATTAAACTCCAAACAGTAACCCAGGGTAGGGACTCAGGAGGCATGATTATTTGATATAGATCAGAACTAACCCATTCAATTCAAATTATCAAAAAAGCAGAATCCTATATTTGGCTGAAAATTAACAAAGAAGTAATAAGTGCAGACCAACATGTCTACCTATGTGCTATTTACATAACCCCCTCAGATTCCCCCTACTACAATGAAGATGTTTTTTCCACTCTAGAGGGGGAAATAAACCAATTTAAAACTTTAGGAAAAGTGCTAGTCTGCGGAGACCAGAAAGCTAGAACTGGAGAGAAAGCTGACACTGTAAACATCCAGGGAGATCAGCACTTAGGCCTACCTGGAGAAACCTGCTTTCCTCTCCCCGAACTCCCCCCAAGACACAGTTTTGATAAAATTACAAACACAAATGGTACCCAGCTTTTACAGCTCTGCCGCACGCTGGGTCTGTATATAGTCAATGGTAGGTTACGAGGAGATTCTCTGGGCCGTAACACATTTAGTTCAGCTCTTGGCAGTAGTACGGTAGACTATGCCATAACAGATCTGGACCCAATGTCTCTCAAAGCTTTCACAGTCAACCCACTCACACCCCTCTCGGACCACAGCAAGATCACGGTCTATCTGAAGAGGGCACACAGTAACTATGAGGCCTCTAAACCCAGTGAACTGTACAACACCACACATTAATACAGATGAAAATCAGACAGCATGGAGAGCTACCAAAAGGCATTTGAAAATGCCAAAATCCAATATTCAATCGATTTATTTCTTTCTGAAATATTTCCCCACAATAATGATGGTGTAAACACTGCTGTGGGCAAAATTAACGCAATTTTTGATAAATTGGCAAAGTTATCAAACTTGAAAACCTCTAATCAAAAACCAAAACAAATACACAATAACAAATGGTTTGACAATGATTGCAAAAATATAAGGAAAACTTTAAGGAAGTTATCAAACGAAAAACATAGAGACCCAAACAACCAAAATATACGCCTTCATTACTACAACAACTTGAAACAATACAAAAGCACACTGAGAGCAAAGAAAGACCAACACACCAGAACCCAGCTCTCTGAAAAAGAAGAATCTTTAGAGTCAAACCAGTTCTAGCAGAAGTGGAACACTCTAAACAAAACACAACAAGATCAATTGGCAATACAAAATGGCAGCATTTGGATGAATTATTTTACTGAATTATACAGCAATATTACAAAGAACAGCGACCAAAACAAAACACACGCCAAGTGGAAAACTTTAGAATTAGTAATCAAAGACAACCAAAACCCTCTAGATGCTTCAATAACAGAGCAGGAACTGACGGAAAGCATCCAATCCCTGAAAGCTAAAAAGGCCTGTGGAGTCGACAACATCTTAAATGAAATGATCAAATATTCTGACCATAAATTCAAACTGGCTATACTCAAACTTTTTAATATAATTCTAGCAGTTGGCACTTTTCCTGACATAAGGAATAAAGGTTTAATAACACCCCTTTATAAAAATGGAGATAAATATGACCCTAATAATTACCGTGGAATCTGTGTAAATAGTAACCTGGGAAAAAACTTTTGCAACATTATGAATAAAAGACTCATCAGTTTTATCAATGACCAAAATGTTTTGAATAAATGCCAAATTGGATTCTTACCAAATTTTCGCACAACAGACCACATCTATACCCTCCACACCCTGATTGAGCAAGAATCAGACAAGAAGAAAGGAAAGGTCTACGCATGTTTTGTTGATTTCACAAAGGCCTTTGATTCCATCTGGCATGAGGGCCTTTTCTACAGACTACTCAACAGTGGCACTGGAGGAAAAACATATGATGTCATTAAATCTATGTACACAAACAGTAAATGTGCAGTTAAAATAGGAGACAAACAAACAGCCTTCTTTTCCCAAGGTCGTGGGGTGAGGCAGGGATGCAATCTTAGTCCAATCCTCTTCAATTTATACATTAATGAATTTGCATGTCAATTAGATCAATCCACGGCACCTGGCCTCAACCTGAATGGCACAGAAATGAAGGGTCTCCTGTACGCAGATGACTTGGTGTTGCTGTCACCAACAAAAGAAGGTCTACAGCAGCACCTCAACCTCCTGCAAACATTCTGTCAGACCTGGGCCCTGACAGTTAACCCAAAGAAAACCAAAATTATGATCTTCCAGAAGCAGTCCAGAAGTCAGGAAAACACACACAATTTCTATTTGGACACCACTAAATTACAACATACAAAAAACTACACATACCTTGGCCTCAACATAAGCTCCACAGGAAGCTTCAACTTGGCTGTGAAAGATCTGAGAGACAAAGCAAGGAGAGCTTTCTATGCAATTAGAAGAAATATTAAACTGGACATTCCAATTAAAATCTGGCTAAAAATTTTCCAATTTGTATTAGAACCGATAATTCTCTATGGCAGTGAAATTTGGGGACCAAAATTAAATCATGAATTTGAAAAATGGGACAAAACAATAATAGAATCTTTCCACACAGAGTTCTGTAAGAACATCATGCACGTCCAGAGAAAGACACCAAACAACGCATGTAGAGCAGAACTCGGCCAATTCCCCCTCATATTGAAAATACAACAAAGAGCAATTAAATTTTACAATCACCTAAAAACTAGTGACCCCCAGACATACCATCACAAAGCCCTAACCTGCCAAGAGCTGAAGCCAGAGAAGAGCCCCCTCAGCCAGC